TCTTCAGAAGTCTTGGAAAGACACTGGGCTGGGTTCCCAAGGAATGTTCCGTGGCCTGTGTTGCATTTGGTGCACAGTGTGTGTGTGTGTGTGTGTGTGTGTGTGTGTGTGTGTGTGCGTGTGTGTGTGAGGGAGAGAGGGAGAAGGAGAGAGGGAGAAGGAGAGAAGGGCAGGAGAGGAGGTGATGGTGGCACAGAACATGTGATGACAGGGTGCTGATCTACCGCTTTGACTTCGGGACTTGAAAGGACAGGTGCCTGAATGCACTGCGGCACGGGGGCCCATGTCCAGAACCGGCGGGGCAGCCTGGCCCCGGGAAGGCGTGTGGTTGCCGGCATCCACTGGAAGGTTGAAATGCTGGTTCCCCCACGTCCAGGCCACGTGGCTTTGACACATCGCTGCCTTGGCTCTGTCATCTGCACGGTAGGCAGAGTGATATTGGGGCCCCAAGATGATGCTCGTGAGGCAGTTAGTGAGACACAGAGCCCCTGGGGGACTGCAGGAGGTGCTGGTACTGCTGGTCCTGTTCTCATGAGGAACACGCTTTCCTCAGGGCTGCCCACTGCGGAGCAGAGCGAGGACACTGGTCTCCCCTGGGGCTCAGAGCATGCCTCAGGATTCTGGCGAACGTGCGCCTGTCCTCCCTGCAGGCCCAGGACTTCCCCGGCTGCTGGGTGGGAATGTGAGGTCCCTATGGGTGAGGGACAAGGGCAGGCAGCTTCTGACCTCGTCAGCCCTCGGCTGTGACAGCTGCTCAGAAACCCGCCAACGACCCACACCAGAGGGGCTTGCTGCCAGGGACAGAGCCCCCCGACAAATACGAGAGCAAAGGGGTGCAGAGGTGGGGCAGGCACATAGGATCTGGGGGACACAGTCTGTTGGTATCTGCTCTGTGTCTCACCCTGAGTCAGAAAAACAACCTCTCTGTGCTCTGCGTCTGATGCCTCGGCAAGCTCCGCCCTGCTGCTCTTCATGCATCCCCACACGCCCCAGGCGCCCCCAGACTTCCATAAGGGCCGAGCTGCCTGCATCGGAATCCCTTGAATTGCTTGGGGGTTGGCCCGGGCCCCTTCGGCCCCGCCCCTTGCCTTGTTGGCGGGTTGGTTGGGCTTCGGGGGGAGCTGTGTCAGGGCAGGCGCGTGCGCGCTTTGAGCACAGCAGTGTAGACATCTCCCCTGAATGGAGCCTGGGGGCAGGCGGAGGTTGCTCCTGCTCACATCCCAGGGAGACGTGGAAAGTCACCTCGGGGCTTAATGGAAGGTGGGGGCAGGCTGCAGGGATCGATGCTTGTGGGGACAGGTGGGCACAGGCCCTGCTTCCTGGAGGATGGGGAGGGGGCAGTGCCCTGCTCCTGGGGTGGCTAATGCTTTGGCGAACCTCCAGGTGGTCCTCGGTCGACACAGGCCCCAGGAATGGGTGGGGGGCTTGGTGCATTTTGATGCTGGTGGGATCAGGCATCCCAAGCAACCGAACAACCTGACAGCCACTCCTGCATCCCTGCAGGGCCCTTCAGGGGACGTTATAATTGGCTCTGGCTGCTGGGACAAAGTACCACACACCGAGCGACTCAGTGGCTTAGGCTATAGAAAGGTCGTCTCTCGCAGGTCTGGGGGCCACAAGTCCACGATCAGGGTGTTGCTTCCTTCTGAGGGCTGGAAGGGGATCGTGCGGTGCCTTTTCCCGAGCTCCTGGTCTCGGTGGCACTCTTTGGCGTCCCCCGGTGTGCGTCACACTGCCCTCTGCCTCCATCTCACACTTGACCCTGTGTATGTCCGCGTCCAAACGTCCCCCTTTTATGGGGACACCAATCATGTGGGATTGGGGCCCACCCCACACCATGATGACCTTATATTAATTATATTTGCAACAACCTTATTTCTAAATCAGATCACATTCCGAGGTACTGGGGGTGAGGGCTTCAACATGTGAATTTGGGGGGAGACACGATTCAACCCATAGCAGGGGCCATGGCAAAAGGAAACCAAGTCCTGCTCTAGTGACACCTGGGCCCAAAACGCCCTCAACGGGGGGCTCACACTGGAGGCTTCAGCTCTGCAAGGGGCCTCCTCTGTCCACATCTTGGGACCATCAGCTATGACTACAGGGGGAGGGGCGGGGGGTGGGGACTCAAGTAAACCAGCCACGTGGAGGAGAAGAGAGCAGGACAGGCAGGCGGGCACCTTGTAGCACACAGCGACTCTGCCCACAGGTGACATGTGGCTGGTCGGAACCGTAATGCCCCTTTCTTGGCAGGGACGGCTTTAGAAAGCATGAGCAGAGCTAGGCCTGGCATGAGAGGATGGGCTGAGGCACTTCCTGTCTCAAAGGCCATCTGGGAGGGTCCTCGTGGTCATCCAAACGCCTGCCCAGATCTGGGGTTTGAAAGGAGCAGTTGTGACAATGTCTTCTTGTCACTCTTCTTCTCGCCTCTTCTCGGGCACTCAGACAAATGGGGAGTTGGCTCGGTCACAGCTAGGATGGAGCAAAGCCAGCCCCAGCTGGCACAGGGGTATCCCTGTGCGCAGGGAAGCAGCAGGTGGCTCAGCCAGGCGCATCTGAGCACGGAAGGGGCACCCAGCCTCCTCCTGGTTGGTGGCCGGGGGAGCAGTGTCCAGGCCTGGACTCGCCCAAAACATCTCTTTGCTTGGAGACCCTGACAAAGGCCAGACACTGGCTTTTCAAGCAAAAGTTGTCATGTGCACTGTGGGGAGGGGCAAGTGACAAAAGTTCTAAGTTGCATATAATGACCTCATGGAACAGGGGTTCTTGGAGCCGGAAGAGACCCCAGAGCTCATCTCATCCTATCTGAGATATCTAATCCCAGCACGGCCACTAGCCAGGACTTGGACTGCAGTTAGATGGAGCTGGGTTTCCATGTCAGAGGCCTTGGCTTGCTGCTGAACCTCTCCAAGCCTCAATCTCCTCATCTGTAAAATGGGAATAGCGGTACCCATTCTGTAGGATGATTGTGAGATTAGAGAGCGTGCACACAAGTGCTTGGCCTAAAGGAAACACTAACTGCGAATCATTATTACTGAGCAGGTAGAGTTCAGACTTTACATAAAATCTCTGAGATGCAAACGCAATAGATTTTACCTCTTCATTATCTAAATGGTGAAATTTTAAGTTGCTCTGAGTAATTTCATTCCATGAAATCTACATAACCTGCAAATAATAATTTTGATCTTGCTGGATGGTTTGATGCTATTTGGCTCTTTCAATAAATCCTTTTGGGAGAGCCAAAACGCTGACTGAATTTAGCAATGTACAAAAGCAAAGCTTTTGGAAAAGCAAGTTGGCACTGCATAGGAACAATGTGTTGGCATTCAGCGATTTCATTCTTATTATTAGGTGTGAATTCTAAATTCAGGGGTTTTGTCCTTTTATATGTATTCATCACGTCTCAAAATAGTTTTCTTAAAAGTACAGATTTCCTAAATGCTAACAGCTCTGTCCCTAGTGGGGCTCCCAAGGACATGAGGGGAAACACAGCCACAGTCCCCCGCGGGGTCAGAGGGCAGGGGCCGGCAGTGGTGGCTAACGTGGGAAGCCGAATGGAGGAGCCTCGAGTGGACTCGCGAGGGTCTGTTCCAGACAGGGGCATGTCAGTAGAGGACCACACCCCAGCTTTCTCCTTCGCTGGCTCTGCAGCCTGTCCTCACAACCTCGCCCCAAAGAAGGCTCCAGAAAACAAGCAGATGTTGGCAGTACAGAGTTCCAGTTCTCAGTTCTCTCTATACCGAGGTCCTCACCTGGGCAGCCCACCAAGCTGAGAGCCACCGCTGCCTTCCCTCTGCAGATACCCTGGGTAGAAGACAGGTCCCAGACCCCCCAGTCGGAGTAGGGTACAGATGCTGCACCTGGCACGGCCTCTGACTTGCTGTGTGATGTTGGGCAGCCCCTTCCCCTCTCTGGGCCTCAATTTCCTCATATGACAGTGGGTGGGGAGGGGGTGGTTTATGATCTCCGAGCTCCCTCCCTGCTCTGTGGGTCTTTTCTACCTTATGTTCATGCTGGCTAATGTCCAAATATGGCCAAGGCTGCTGGACACACTTGAGAGAGGAGCATAAATGGCTTGATTTGGTGGAGGGAGGGGAGGATTCCACTGACACAGTGGAAGGCTTTTCCCGACCTCACAGCCTGGCATTAGCACCCTCAAATGGTGTTGTTCCAGGGTACCAGGACTCCAACAACCGTGCCCCTTAGACCCAGGGGTGTGTCTTCCCTTGCCCCTCCCTGCAGGAATGGTGGTCCCTTAGGGTACCCTGACTGCGGCTGTTGTCAAAGACCACCAGGATCCCAAACCCAGGGAGAGGCCTTCCTTGCCCGCAGATTCTTTCCTGACACAACACACACTTGGAGCTTTGCAGAATGTTTTCAAAATCACTCAGCCCTTTCTCCCATGCAGCCTCCCTAGGAAGGCAGAGCCAGGATTTGAAAGAAAGAATGGGACCAGACTCTTCCAGTGGACAAGATCTTCGAGATTATCTTATCCCACCTTCTTGCTTTTCATATAAGACACACGGGTCCAAGGTGCAAAAAGACTTGCCCAACGTCACACGGCAGGTCAGTAGCAGAGCTGGAGCCTGAAGCCAGAATAGCCATTAGCTGCCAGCGCAGTTAAGCTTGGGTTTCAGGGTCAGACAGACCAGGGTTCAAATCCTGCCTTTACAATTTACTGGCCGTATGACCTTGGGCAAATTATTTAACCTCCTGGGACATCTGTCTCTTCACACGGATTAATAAAACGGAGATGATCACATCTCCCAGCGCTCAGTGAGATCACACGTAGAAAGGGTTTAGTTAGCACAGTGCTGAGAGTAAGATAAGCGCCTGACGAATGTTCACCGTTGTGATCGATATTGGCATAAATAGTTACCGCTGTCATTGTTACTGGAGGAGACAGGAAACAGTAGCCCCCAGGGCGCACACTGGAGTCCTGGTGCGCCCCAGGCGGTGCCGGCTGTGCCCGCAGTAACGGCGTCCCCGTCTCTCCGCAGGCTGGTGGAGCTCTTCTCCACGGCGCCCATCGGCTCCCACTGGGGCGTGCTGTCCAAGTGCTTGGCCTACAGCAAGGCGGCGTCCGACCCCTTCGTGTACTCCCTCCTGCGACACCAGTACCGCAAAAGCTGCAAGGAGATTCTGAACAGGGTCCTCAACAGACGCGCCATCCACTCCTCAGGACTCACGGGCGACCCTCAAAGCCAGAACATGCTGCCCGTCTCGGAGTGAGGCCCGCACTCCTGCTGCACGGCTCAGTGAGGCGGCGGTGAGAAGAGGGGAGGGCGGGCGTGGGGCCCCCGGGCGGACGCCAACAGCCACCAGCTTCGAGGCAAGCCCGGTGGCTCTGGTTCCCTGACTTTCGGGCTCTGGAGCTTCTGCTTCCTGGTTCCTCAAGGGCAGATGTTGGACTGTCCCTATTTGTCACCAAAGGATGACTGTGGCCCTGCTCTGGCCTTTCTAGAAGCTCCTTTGAGCTGACTTGCCTGAGGCACCCCAGGGGATGGCCCTGCATCCTGCCACTATCAAGGACGCACAGGGCTGGTGGCAGGTGGGGAAGCAGGGTGTTCACCTGTTTGCTGATCACTGGACATTGGGCTCCATGCTGAAGGAAAGTGGTGGCCTCCAGGGGACATTGCAATCGTGCTGAAAGTGAGACTGGCAGTGGCCTTTTGGCCCCAGATCTGATGTGGCACCTCTTCTCCACAGGGTAGTGGTGGCTGCTTTAACCCAAATATTATTCAGCTGGTACTAACTAAACTGTGCTCAGCTGGGACTCTTGGGCTCTGTGCCCAAGGGGACAATGTTTAACAGCTCGTGGCTACCCAATTGCTGCTGACCAGTTGTCTTAGAAATGGTAACTTAGATTCAACTTTTGTCCCTCCTGTCCCCCAGAAAAGCTAATGTTTGTGTGTAGACAATCTTGGCATGAAAATGGTTGAATTAGGCAGGGAATATACATACTCGGTTCTTTGAAGTCTGACCGGGAAGTCACCGTCTAAATCACATGTCCTGACTGTTGGAATTCAGTAAGAGCAGGAGGAAGGTGGCTGGCTGGTCTCCCCTCCCCCATCTGTGACCTGGCTCTGCAGGAAGCCTCTCGCTTTGTCTCATGCAACTTGTCCAGCACGTCCCGTGAGATGGACCGGCAAGAACCGGCCTGAGCAGGGACTTAGCCTCTATGTCAAGGCACTGGGTTCCTTTATCTTGATGGCTTCCTATCCTAGTTTCTGTAGTCTGTCAACAGAAAGTAGAGGCTGTCCAAGGTTTTCAAGAGAGTGCCCTGTGCTAATGACGAGAGAGTGACATTTTCATAGAATACTGCGGCTATAACACACATGCCAATCCATTAGCAGCCCTCTCTTGATTTAATAAAAACCAGGGTGAGTGGACCTCGCTTTCTGCCCACACTGTCTTTGTTTACCATCTCAGATTAACTCCTGAGGGCTAAGAGCGGTTGTTTCTTGATCCTCTGCTGGAAGTGGTCCTGCAGGGTGGAAAGGCGGGGAGCAGCGGAGGCAGGTGGCTCGCGCTCTCCTTCCAGCTCCTCACGTCTGGAGTGTGATGGGGAGGACCCGGTCCAACGGGGAGTGACCAGAGAGAGACTATTGGTTTTCTCTGCCAGGAAGCCCTGTATTTAAAGCCAGAGAAGTGTGTGCATGTGTATTTGAAAAGATAAGATATCATCTTACTAACTCTTAGCTCCTCATTTAGAAAACCACTCAGCCTGGGCTGCCCTCGCCTAGTTTCAAAGTTTCCATGAAAGCTAGAATGGAGACCGATGTAGCTTCCAAAGAGGCTTTGACATCTTCGAGTTGCTGTCAGAGGTGTGTGCTCACACCTGCTCGGGGAAGCCAATGGGGTACTCCCCTCCCCAATTCCATAATCAGGGACGCAACGCTGGTAGCCTGAAATCAGCCGTGGCGGGAGCTTTCATACCATGAAGATCAGCAGCTGCTACAAATCAGGCCTTTTCCCCACTGAGAGCTGGTTGTTAAACACCTATCAGCACAGCACTGCCAGACATGACTTTGTGCGTTACTGAAACAAAATTGCTCTGGCTCAGAGCCCGTTTGGCCACTTACGTTTGAACCATGACAAACATGAGCTTTGACATAACCTTCCCAGTGACGGGCAGCTGTTCACAGTGTCCCACTGGGATTGAAACAAGCAGGGAGCCAAGACGGTATGCACAGTCGAATCCGACAAGATACCTCCCTTTCTACACAAACACTTTTAAAGTTGGGCACAGAGGAGCAGTGACCCCAGGGGATGAGGTCAGTGGATAGTCGAATTCAAGCAGCAATATATATTTTCACCAATTTCAGTTTGGAGGAATAACTCCAGTAGATCCCGTCCGTGTTTGCTCTGTGCTGTATAGGCAACATGTCATGTTCCCTGTAGCAACTAGATCTCTATTCTGTCTTCTTTAGCTAAGAAGCAAGATCTGTCACCCACAGCAGCACATATCTTGAAAAGATGCATTTCATTGTTTTCACTATACCTCTAAAACTGTTTAAAAACCAACCAATAAAACCAGTCGTATTGGTGTCATGCAGGCAGAAACTCCAGATACGTTCATTGATTAAGTTTTTCATTATTATTTGGACACAGACATTAAAACCCAAGGGGAAGTGAAAAGAAAATGACGGCATTAGCAGTCAGCATTGAACAGCTCTCACTCCGCTATAATTACCTTTAGATAAATGTTTATACTCATCTATATTCAGGCTATAAAATTTGCCCCCGGCTTTATTATTCCCAATTGAATTATCTACCTCATTTTGGTAATTTAATTTATCAAATGTAACATTGTTTTCTCAGGTATAGCACATAGGAACACTAAGATTTTTGGCATCGAAGTCCGAGGGCCTGGCCCAAACTCTGAATGGTTGGACTTGGTGAAAAAATTTAAGAAGCTTGAAAATAAAACTCATAAAGAGAAGGCTCTCATATTCCTAAATCCACAGGTGGGGCTCGGTTCCTAGTCCTACACACTCAGCATTTGCCTTTTTAATCATCCTGCAAAACTACTCTAGCTTTCCCTCAAGCCCCTTCCTGAAGGAGGGGATTATAGAGCCCTGGGACCCCCAAAAGGGACAGTCCACATGCATGCGTGCTGTGCCAGGGGGGTTTGTGTGTCTCACGGCCAGCTCACCTCTCAAAGATGCTTCACCAACAGCCAGCCGGTGTTGACTTAGAAATCAGTCTGGGGGAGGAGGGGACGCTGTCTTGAGTCATCACAGACCAACTGTACGTTCTTCTAGGACCCTGCTCAGTGTCCTGTCCCCAGGAGCAATAAACCTCTCTCCTCGTGTTTGTGAAATTAATTTTCTTTTTCATGGTGCCTTTCTTTCTGAGAGAAGATGGAAAGCATGGGCCAGGTTCATGTGCTGGTTGTCACCTTCTACATGCTTGGGCGCAGGCAGATTAGACCTCCGCATGGAGGAACCGAAGGCTGCATTGTTAGGATTTAACCCGAACGCAGGATGAACTGATTTGCCTGATTTTATTGGGGATATTTTATCAGGTGCCAGAAATCCCTTGGATCAGCTCATACTCTTTAAACCATGAGCGCTGTGGGGAAGGAGAGGTCCTGGAATGGAGCCATCAGCTCTTAAACTTTGCTATCCACAAGAGTCGTGAAGGTAGGTTGTTTAAAACACAGATTCTGGTACCCTCTCCTCAGAGATCCATTCGAGCAGGTCCAGGCAGCACCCGGGTTTCTGAATTTTCACCAAGTCCTCAGGTAACTACTGCCTAAGGAAAAATGACCTTAGATGCTTGGATAAACTCTATAGAAAGCTGAGTGTTTCTAAATATGTAAGTTTCAATTGTCTTGTATCTTTCCCTAATTCTCCAAATAGTTCAATCTGCAGCTTTATTCAAGGGCTACAGCATTTTGTTCTCAGAGGGAAAAAACTGATCTCTCCCTGAAATTCTAAAAGCCCATCTTCACAAGGCTCTGGCTGGACAGCAGAAGCTGCCCACCCTCACCTCCCAAGGCATTTGCAAAGCAGCCTCATTCCTCTCTGTAGGGCTCCTGAGTTGTCAGCACGAGATGTATTTGCGGGTGTCGGCAGAGGATGGCCAGGAAGCCTTGTGAGAGGAAAAGGGCCAAGGTGTTCAGAGGGGCCCTGAGGGATGCTTGCTTGGGTCTTGGATCAGACTCTGCTGGGGCAGCCTGGCGGTGGGAGGGGATGACATCTGACACCTCTGCCACTGCCCAGAGCTTGTCCCACCCTCTTCCCACCCAGCCTCATACACAGGGAGCTGAGCCAGGCTGAGACAGGGCTGGGGAGAGACAGTTTGAGATGCCAGCCCCTGGCTGGGGGTGTCTTGTTGGTCCCATCCAGTGTGGCTAAGCCTGCTGGTACCCCGGGAACAGCTGGTGTTAATGACAATGGTCCGAACAGCCAGTGTGTACAGAGTAAGGACTAGACCCCAAGCTAGTGTCTGAAGTCTGCTGGGGTCGTGTTTCCATTAATCTTTATAATAATCTTTTGATGTAGGCACTATTATCATCTCCATTTTATGCATGTGGGAAGATTTGTAGGTCCTGAGTAGATGCAAACAGGACAGTGGTCTCAAGAAGGGCAGGCTGGTAACAAGGGGAAAAGTCCCCACTTTACCGACTCTGGGCAGTTCTGGGCTCAGCAGATGTTCTTCTGCCATCAGCAACGACCGCACCTTCTCAGTGCCGGGCTAACACCCAGTCCACCAGCTGGGCCTTGGGGGCCCCCATCACGTGGTTGGAAAGGAGATCCCTGGACTTCTCTTTCTCTGTGTATGTTTCCAGGGGAAGAAGCTTAGCAGCAGCCTATGTGCCCAGGAGGCACCGCTCACAGTCCCTTCCAGGAGGCCCTCTGAGCAAAGGCATTAGGTGTGTGGGGGCCCATTGTCTACCTGGGTTTTCCCGAGACTCTGGGCCATCAGGCTCCATGAGCATCTGGAGGACAAGGCATCTCTCTGCACCGAGACGAACCTCTTAGCACCCGGCAGCTGGGAGGACTTATACGGAGGACCCTGGTTTTGTGTCTGGGCCCCTGGGCGGAGCGGACGAGGGGAGAGGCTGAGTGGAGCTTGGCTCCCACAGGGTCAGGGGAGAGCGCGGCTGAGAGCAGTGTGGTCTGTAAGGTCCCCACCTTCCCAGCTGGCTCCCACTTTCTCTCAAAACCAAGCAGCCCATTAGCCCCCAAAGGTTAATCTGACCCTAGGCTGCCTTTGCTCTGCTGGTGGCCAAAGTCCTGGACTGGTCAAAGGAAGGTGGCAGGAGCCTCAGGCTTGCTCCTGCCTCAATTCAGACGCAGCCAGGAAGTCACGGCCTCCTCTTGCCTCCTTGGGGTTCGACAACCTAGCAGGGAGGAGTCAGGGGTTCCGAGAAACGCAGCTGTCCAGCCTCCCAGGAAGTCTGCATGGGGGTGGGGGGAGGTGGCAAGGCTTCACCCAGCCTGCCCCAGACATCTCTGCGCAGAGCAGCGACCCACCAGGGCACCCAGAAGTGCACACTTGGCAGCTGTGGGCCCTGAGCCAGAGCTGTGAAAGGACCTCCCTGTCACTCCGCAAACATTTACTGAGCGCCCGCTCGGTGCTGGCCCTGTGCTGTGTCAGGCTCCGGGGAGACACGTCATTGCTCTATGGGGTGGGGGGCAGGGTGCCTCGGAGGTGCGTGCTCAGTGCCGTGGGGGTGAAGGGGGAGGGCTGGAGAGCTTGGCTGGTGAGGAGGAGAGTTCTGGAAGGCTCCATAGAGGCGCTGACATTTGTGTCAGAACTTGGAGTAGGGCAGAGTGTGTGGCATGACGCAGAGGAGGTGGAGCCTGCGCGCTGAGGGGTCTGGGTGGGCGGAACTCAGCTGGGCCCAGGGACGGTGTCAGGCGGGCGCTGAGAGGGAGGTCCCGTGTCTCCTGAGACAGGTCGAAGGTGATCTGCGGCCACAGGGAGATGACAGAAGTCTTGAAGTTGGGAGTATCAAAATTAGATCTGTTTTGGAAAGAAAAGAAGTGGGGAAAGTCTGTACGTGTTTAGCTGCCAAAAAAAGAGTGGGAAGAAAGAAAAGAAAGAAGGAGAAA